CTCTTTATCTCTCTTTCGTTATCTCTCTCTCTTTATCTCTCTTTCGTTATCTCTCTCTTTATCTCTCTCGTTATCTCTCTCTTTCGTTATCTCTCTCTCTCTCGTTATCTCTCTCTCTTTCGTTATCTCTCTCTCTCTCTTTCGTTATCTCTCTCTCTTTCGTTATCTCTCTCTCTCTCGTTATCTCTCTCTCTCTCGTTATCTCTCTCTCTCTCGTTATCTCTCTCTCTCTCTCGTTATCTCTCTCTCTCTCTCGTTATCTCTCTCTCTCTCTTTCGTTATCTCTCTCTCTTTCGTTATCTCTCTCTTTCGTTATCTCTCTCTCTTTCGTTATCTCTCTCCATCTTTTTATTTATTTTCTACGAACAGGATGGTTTAAATGCTACTAACATTTTTGTTAGGACTACATATTTCGCCGTTGCTAAATATTTATTTTCTCATTTTTATCAGATATAATAGCCAACTTTCATTAATGAGGCGAGATTTGAGAAATTGTAAAACACGGATGGCTGATCAACAGAAACAAATTCTTGAGTATGCCAGTCGTTTAGATGAAACAGATAAAAAAAATGAAGAAACGTCACGTAAATTTAGCACTTTGTTACAGGTTTGTTACAAATACTTTTCAGAAACTTCATTTATTTTAGAGTAGAGAAATTTTTTAATTTACAACTTGATTATATAAATATTTTTGAAGATAAATACTGCATATTTTGAAGTTTATAATATATTATATGACATTGTTTTTTCATAGGAATTGAACAAGTGCAAAACAGAATTACAGTATTGGCGTTCCAAATCTCCTGCAAACCCATTAGTATGTACCTGTGGAAAAGTCTTATCACCAGTGCCAAGTGAAGACCTTCAGGCGCTGATCAACCAGGGAGTTGTTTCTGAAAGTCTGGGCATGGGCTCGGAGGAAAGTGAAGGTGCCTTACTTACTGGCAGCTGTGAAATACTGCCGGTAGCCAGCACCAGCGGAGAACAGGAAGTAAATTCTGAACAGAGTGCAGGTGGATCGCAAGAGAGCTGTTCAGGCAATGTGTGGAACCAGGATGGTTGTCAAGCTCAAACGAGAACTGACTGTCATGTTCCAGCTTCCAAGAATGAAAAAGATATTCAACCTATGTCACCACAGCCATGTAGTTCCAACAAGCCTTGTGGTTCAAAGCGTAAAGGAGCTGAAGAGTTAATTATTTGTCATGAATCAAAGAAGACACGTCGAAGCAAAAGGTCAAAAGTGTAATGTTTTTTCTTCATTTTTATTGATTGAATTAGGATCAAAATAAATTTACTACACTTCTTAGA